AACTGAAACAACCGGTCCTCAGCTGAAGTAAACTCGTTAAGCAAAGATCCGAGTTCGAAAGTGGATTCGGAAGCCATCTGTGATTCCGAAAATTCAGGTGTGGCGAGAGAGTAGTCTGAATTGAGTTCATGTGGGACAATCGCACTCAGCACAGCCGGTACCGGTGCCGTGGTTCAAACTCAGCACTATCACCATATCGTATCAGGCTTCTTCCACTGGGGAGTAATGCCTTCTTGTACTCTCGGATGATTGGCGCCGAGGCAGGTTTCTGGTACAGCACCACGACGGTTTGCGTCGTCCCCCCGCTAGAGGATGCAGACCACCCCAAACCGGGTCGGGACCTCACTCAGACCTTCCCAGGAGGGTAGACAATGGGTAATCAAATACCCGCGTGTCACTCCTTCTGTCACCTTACCACCACACTCGGGCACTGGTGGAGAGGCGTTATACACTGACTGGGTCAATGAATGCATCTAACAATAAGTTGTTTATGGTAGAGATAGAAACAACACTCTCTCGTCGTTGTGATTGTTCTCTTTTGCATCCCATTTTAAAATATTCACCCAAAAATCTGGGAAGCTGGTGGGTAAGCGATGCACTCCTGCAATCGGAGGAATTACCTGAGGAACTGAGGGAAGCGATAGACAAGAATAAAGGAGAAAACCGGCAATATTAATATTGTTCTATGATCAATGATGAAATGAACACTTCGGATTTCTGCTTTAAGCAATAGTTGGAAATCTGAAAAGTATTCATTTCATTCTGCGATAAAATTTCATTCTTAGTTCTTGGAAAATTAGGTATAGTTGGTAGCTTAAATGGTTTTGTCTTCCATCGCTCACAACCCATGCATTATTTTTTCAATATTCTTTTATTCTTTCTGATTGTATCTTCACTTTCGTATTGTTTGTGATCTTTGTTGAAATTATACCTTCGCCAGCTCATTCATCCCACCACCTCTGTGGGTTTAAGAGTAGAGAGATTCCTCTGTTAGCTCACATTTGCGGATTTTTTTCATTTGGAATGTAGTGAAATGAGAATTTGGCTTTTCCCATTTTTTCAACAAGATTTTATGCAAATCTGACTAATAAACGAAATGATTTTGTCTCGAGTGCAACGCGTGACAGGAATTCGACACAAGGCTACCTTTACATTTTCCAGTGCAAAATTTAACATTTGTTAGATTCTTCCACTTTCTTCATTTCAGCGAAAGAATGAACAAAACAAAGCTTCATTTCAAGATCGACGGTCCCGACATCTCCTGATGCTCCTTTAGATGGACTGTTTATAAATTAGCATAGAAAAAAGGCTTGAAACAACCATTAGGGATTTAATGCAAGAAAGAAAATATTTCATTGGATTAATAGATACTTCCACCACCTAGGATACTAGCTATGTCAATTACTTATTCATAAATTTGAAAGCAAACAGAGCTATGAAGTGTTTCCCGATCTATGTTTTGACGCTTAGCAGACTGATGCTTCATCAAAACTTTTATTATTAATACAAGAAAAATTATGTTTGAAACTTTTATGACAATAAATAAATAAATAATATTACACTACATTTTTCGGAAATTTTTCGTTTTTTTTTTTGAAAAAAATGAAGGAAAAAATGGATTACATATTAACATAAAAAGGCGAAAATGACACGAAAAACATGCTAATCAGTATACGCCATAATAAATATAACCTTCAAAGAACGGAATACCGGAATGAGACAATACACACTGAATTAATCGCGGACTAGAAATAAATGCAGAAAAAAAAGTTTCTATCAGTGTGATACATAAATGAAAAGATCAAGTTGGAGATTATAAAGGATGAACATATATGCTTTTTATAACAAACAGTTTTTTATGCTACGGTTGATACATCACAAGACAACCAACACCTAATGAGACTGATTTCAACAAAGTATTTAGAAGTTGGGTGTACAAAATAAAATACAAGCAGCCCATAATTTTTAATTTCGTAATTGCATGTCAATAAGCATATTATTACACCATCACCGACACTGCAATACATAAATAAACTATCTAACACTTGATCAAAACTAGCATTCCTTGAAGCGGTCTAATTAATATGCCACACTCAACTTGAACTATAGGTAAGAAATTAAAGCTTGTCGTAAGCAATCACATTTCGATAAAACAGATAACAGTAAGAATGAAAAGAATGGAAAATATATGAAAATAAAGTGGAATGAGTTATTCGAAAAGAAAAAATAGAAAAACAATACAACAGAAGATTTCTGTGATGACAATGTTAGAGAAGGAAACAATTCAAACACACTGGAATATGCAGTTTCGCAAAATTCCATTACAAACGCCTTCATTTTATTCTCATCTGACTGTCATTTTTCTTTAAATTATATCAACATCAGTATGAATAACTTCAGTTGCAAAATCAGACCATAATTTCTATACCAATAATAAACCTATGTTAATCATTGGTCTATCTAATCCTTTATCAATCACTGATCATCTCAAAGCGTTAGAACATCACCTTTCTTCACCTTTCTTCCCCTTATTTTTTTCCGTCTCTCCAAATTATTCACTATCATATGTTATAACAACCGAATTGGCAAGTTCAATAATAAAACGATCCAGCCAAGTGACAGAATTTGGAGCAATGCCATTACCTTCCAGGAAGCCAAGATGCCCACCGTGTTTCGTGAGAACGAAGCCAAAATGTTCATTTGTTGCAGCTAATTCTCGAACCGGATGCCAAAGACAAGGTGGTATTAGCGGATCATCCAACGCATTCATGAAAACCTAAACATTTTTGTCCATTTTACTACATTAACATCAATCACCGTTTACAGCTAATCTATCTTCATCACTGGTGGTTTCATTATAAAGAAAACGAGAAAAGGATTTGATAGTGCACTGGTAAATGTTACAGTCTCATACTGTATTCTTATTTATCAACATTACCAGCAATGAAATAAATAATTTAGACTTCTACGGTAAACGTACGGACACGAAAAAAAAGCAAAGCATTTTTGTTCTCTAAACAGATAAAATATGCAAGAAAGACAAAAATTGATCTGCACTATAATTTGAATAATTTCTCTAAAAAATCAAATATTTGCCATTGGTATTTTAATCTTCGGAATTACTGATAAGGAGCTGATGTCAAGATAAAATTCCTCAACATTCTCGTAACCGAGTATACGGCGAGTGTATGAGTCATCCAATGCCATTATTGATGTTGCTGCCCACAAGTGCTGGAAAATTCAGAGCTAAAATAAATTAAGCCTCGAGGACAGAAAAAAATCCAAAAACTCTCAGAGTACATCTAATATAAAATATTTATATACAATTTCACAATAAAAAACGCCTACCTGCTCATTTATTAAACCCGTTTTGACGTGCGGTGCTACTGCCATATCGTAGTTTCTCCTTAGCAGGCGTTTCATATTCTCCGTTATTAAGTAGTTATACGCACGACGACCATTCTCCCAACTATGATACAGCGAAAGTGACCTAAAATCAATGGTATGTTCCGGGGAATTAGTTCTTATCTGCTAACACAGAACTACAGCATTAGTAAATGTCTAATAAAATTATTGGTGAAGAACCAACGATGTAGCACAATATCCCTGTGCAACGGAAAGTCCAGCAATAATTCGATGCTGCAAACCATCAGATGACAATTTAGCTATCATGCGTGTGGCTATGTTCCCACCCATACTGAAACCAATGCAAAAGAAACGAGTAGATGGATATAAATCATGCAAATGTGCCATCATCTCCTCCATTTCTTCAGTACCACCTTTAAAAAAGAACACTCTAGAAAATTTGCTTCTAAATTGAAATCTATGTCTTCTAAAGTGATCCAGCATTCAACAAAAGCTAAAGCCATTCGCGTCACCAAACAAAAATTATCAAAATTTTACGATCGATTTCAGTTAATCTAATGACTATCAAATTAAATTAACTAACAAATCACTTTAGTTATCCATCAACAAGCATAAATGAATAAAGCTTATATTAATATTATTCAAAGTCAGCTGTTTCAGAACTGCAAATTTATCATTAAATTAGCAATGTTTACCTCTATTCTCTACTTTCTAGGATAATTTCAAACCTACCATAAGAAAATATACGATTTGATGTGAGTGGGACGTGCTTCAGCGCACCGAGATGATTCAGTACTGCACAGCGAAATCCATTTTCTTGTGCATAATGAACGCAAGTGCGAATGTAATTTGATTCACTCGTATTCGCAATGCCCGGACATAGAGCTAATGTTAGGTCTTCTGCAAAATTCAATGTTCAAAATAGAAAAATTCATAAGCTGAGCTAGTTCTTCAAATATGTAACAACAAAAACAATAATAGAATAAAAGCAAAGCAGATCATTTTTTAATACTTCCTTCGATCCCATTAAATGATCTGTTTTCGTCTGATAATTAAAGGGCTTAATATCCTTACTTTTGGAAGGATGTAGCTTAACAGGTTCGAAAACATCGAATACAACTGATGTACCATCACTTAATTTCACAACATGCCGGCAGTCATAGGTTCGGATGAGTGATGCATGACCGAACAGTCCGTATGATGCCGTTTGCAAATGACCACTTCGGCCCCACAGTAACGGCGGCGAGTAACTGAACTTTACCAACAAGTAGAATATAAGAAAGGATCAATTTTAACAGTAAGGAAGTCGATTCCTTCCCATTATATTTAGTCAGCAAGTTCATAGCTGCTTTCATTCAACATTATTTTATTTTAGACAATAATTGCACTTCAATGCATATATGAATACAAAAGGATCTCCTCGTTCGATGGTGATGAACCATCAAAACATAACGATTCGTAAGGCTTAAAGAAGAATCAAGAAGCAAACAATAAACTAACATTTCGTTCAGAATGGGACATCGTTCTAGCATGTCACCGATCAATGTATGATTCTTGCCAAGTGTTGTTTTTCGCATATACGTTACCTCAGGCTTTTCTGGATAGCTTAATACATTGAGGAAACGAATCAATGCAAGGATCAAAACAAATGCCCCGAACCAAACATAATTAGACCAAAGGTCCGTTATTGCAATCCAGTTTAGAAGCAATTCTAAAACTGCCATAATGCCTTCTCTTGGCACCCACGTACCACCCTATCCACTACCTTTCTTGGAAGTGGTCCTGTTCTGAAAAATCTCCAGTTAGATAAAGAAATGATTATGAGGTCAAAATATCTGCAAATATTTTTATATATGCAAAAAAATTGTAGAATAAAGCATATACAAAATATACTAATAGGATTGAAAATATATAAATAATAAAGCTGTAAAGATAAAACTCAAAAACAGAAAAAAGTTGAAAAATTTAGTGTATTAAAGAAGTTTTGAAAGAAGGGAAAAATTTATACATATTTGTAACATTATATCGAATGGAAACCGAATTCCGAAGATGAAAAGAGAAATTATACTGTAAGGATATGAAATTTTCAATAAATTTGATATGAGAATGATAAGAAGAGAAGACATTTCTGCACAGGAATTTCGGGAAACCTTTCTTGAAGCAATTCAAAATAACGGTGATTGTAGTATAAGCTTTCAAACGAAATGAAATGTCGCTCAGCTCTCCCTCATCAAACTGATAACTTCCATCCCCCTTTGTACCACGGCATCCCGCAACTCGAACATGAACCGGTATATTTGCGGCCAAGCGAGTGAAAATTAGAGTCTCGAGTTGTGACAGCTGCAAACGAGAGTACGCTCATTCAACTTTATTCCTTCGCGCAGTATTCAGCTGTAGTGCATATACGAGATTTTGGCAAAGATCAAGAGTAATTCTAATTATTTAAGGAAGATAGATTCGCTGAACTAATCAAATTTAAATATACGCTGCGCTTCATGTTACTCAAGTTAAGGTCAAGTGATCCAAAATTAATAATGCAAACTGTTCAAGTCGCAGGATAATTTATTTTAACATGTTATGAAATAATTTAAATTGTCCACAACATCTGTTACATCTTTCTTTATTACACAATGTACGTGATGTTTGCATCAATTCAATAAGTTTCATTTTTGTAGAAAATATTCATCTTTAAGAAGATTTAAATATAACAAAATGTTTTTTTTTAATATTTAAGCAATTAAAGCTGAATAAACAATTTAATATTTTATCTTTTTATTGAAATTTCATTAAAATGTATGATATACAAACAAATAGTTGAGAGTGTAATATTTTAAATGTTTCAAAAATTTGTAAAGAACTTACGTTAAGTCAATTTTACAAGTTATCCCAAATTAAGTTGCTCTTTATAAGTTGAGCTAACTTAAGTTTTTTCATAGATTGTAACAAATTGAATTTACCTATAAGTTTTTCAATTTATAAAACTTAGTATTATATTTTTTTCTACTATAACATTGCTTCTATTAATATTTTGGAGTAAAATTTTTGATTTAATGCCTTATAAGCTTGCAAAAAAAGAAAATAAATTGGAAAGAAATACAAAAGAAAAAATTTCTCCACCGGTCAGAACTTTATACGATATTGTGTTCAACTATCAAACAAGCTGATTTGGTATCTTAAATTATAATCATACTTCAATATGTCTATTTAAATGTGTTCACTGAAATATTTAAGCACGAGTGTAGTATGAATGTTTGCCACGTAAAATTCAGTTAATATCATTGTCTGCAATTAGTTTTCCGGAATTAATTACGGATCATTTTGATTTTGGATGTTTACTGTGTTGAATTTTTCATCAGTTGAATACAATGGCAGTTAATAGAGCCGCATTATAGTTGCAACGATTTCAGATATGTCAATTTCATGAATTCCGTTGATGAACAAAAGATGATAGCGAAAGTTTGTATAAATGAATGATAAGATGTCACCCATATCTCGTTGCAGTTACAATGGGGTCACCTGCAGAAGGCACCACTTCAAGGGAGCAATACCTTTCTTTGTATTGTTGTACCCTTTCGTGTCAAATCCCCTGTTACGCCCTAATCGTCCACTTATTCTCCTATTTCCTCTTCATATCATTTCCAGTTAATCATCATTAGGAAATATGAATTGAAATGAATTTGTCCTATATCATAAATTTAATGACATTATCCAATACTCTAATTAGTCAGCTGTGAAATAAATTTTAAAATAAAAAAGACACAAAACTTACATCACTGATCACAAATATAGTAATACTTTTATAACTCTTTGTCACAGTAATTCATTCCATTTCAGAATTTTATTTTGCATTATTTGCTTACAGAAAATATTATTCTTATATGGCTGCAGTTTATTTAATCAAAATTTTTAAAAAATTATTTGATGCATAAAAGAGTTATAAGAATTGATTACGCAACTGGAAAAAAGTTAGTTATAAAGTAAGTTATGAAATACTTATTGTATTATAATAAATATATTATAATTGCTATATCATAATAAAGTTGAAAAATTACCAAAATTTATTTTATAAAAAATGTTAAAGATGATTACATCAATTTCATAATGATAACATAAAAAAATTTTCTCCTTCTACAAAGGATAATTGAACGATACTGATAACAATATTTGTCAAGATAAATCATTCCAATCTTGGAATTGGTCTGTTATAATAATGTTATAGCTCAAGCACATTATCAATCTCAATGAGTAATTAATTTAAAATCAACAAATACTATATATCATCAGTTTAACATTTATTCGTGTTGATGTCGTTAATGTCAATAAAAGAATATCGTTTACCGTTAAGTTGATTGTAATCTCTTTGCTTTTTTCATTTTTTTCGATTAAGGAAAAAAATGAAAGAAATTAAAATTCAAAACTTGCTTCCCCGCAGTGGTGGAAACAAGTGAAAGAATCCATGGTGACACCAAGGACACGTGAATGATACAAACATCGGGCAGGCAAGTTGCCAAAAATTTAACTAGCAAGGACAGATTTCATGGTCGTTTCGACATTTTTTTTCCTTTTCTTCCGTCTCCTCGAAAAAAATAATTTTTTTATCATTTTCTTGTATTTTTATATTTTTTGAAATGTTCGAACAGGTTTCTTCGGTAATTTAATTATTTATAATCAGTGTCCAAAAATTTAATCCAATTGAAGTTATAATGCTTGTTTAAATTAACTGTAACAATTTAACGTGCGATGAATTCAAAGCATATAACTTTTTATTTCAGTAACCTCTTTTTTTTGAAAAGAGTAACCAGCATAATTTAAATAAAGAAAAGTAACTGATCTATGAATGAGAGCTAATGATTTCCACTAATTATTTTCTTAACTTATTGCATAGATTTTGAAGTGTGTTTGAATTTTATTTGCAATCGATAAACGAAGTGTTGCAATGAATTAAATAATCAGCAAATTATGAAAGATATTTGCACGAAATTATTGCGCAGGATGAAGGAAAAAGTGCAAATGTGGCATATTTGGGAAAGTTATTAATTTGGAAGGAATGAAAGAGTGACGGGAAAAAAAAAAGTTCAAAAGGGCATAAAAGAAGAGCAATGAGTAGGGAAGAGAAAGCTGTTGACTGATTGTCTGTTGACAAATTGTAAAATTGTAGTAAATTATGTTGACACTAATTTTACACTTTCATTTAGGATTAATTTACTTTCATTCATCGTTTTTTCCTTTTTCTCTTTTTCTACCGTAAATTCATCGCGAACTTTACCTTTTCTACACGGAGGAAGAGAAAAATAACGAAGAATGAATGATCAGTGTAATGGGTTTCATTTAAAAATTATGCCAAGTATTATCATACACTTCCAGAGTTCACGCTTAAATATGTAAAAGATTGTCATGAATTCAGAATCCGCTTAGAAATTATTTGAAGCGGAAGAATGATAGAGAATGAGTGTTGTATCGGAATTTTTTCTTCCAGAAATTGCATGGAGATTCGCTATGTATTTTACTTTTTGCAAATACATACTTAATTAAAGCACATTTTTTCGTCTATATATTATTAATCTCTTATATGAATTCAACCAACTGTTTAATTCTCAGCTGTAGAATATTGTCAAGAAATAGAAATTCTTTTTTGTAACATTTGTCACTGAATTTTATAACAAAAGTAAAAACTTTGGATAAATAATACTGCAGAATTTTAAATATATTTTAATGTGAAATTTTAAGAAATATTTTTTAGGAAAAGACAATGATAAATTCGTTCATTATTTTTCCTTTTTTCCTTGCTATAAGTAAAGCTTAACAGTTACTGTAAATAATCGCTGATATCATCTTCGAAAAACTAAAAAAAAGCCAACTAAATTTATTATCTTTCTTTTTTATTGTTTTAAACATCGCAATTTTCTTATAAACATTTTACACAATTATTTGACAACATTTTGCAACGTCTTATTGCAAATTGCTTATTTTTTCCTTTCGAGATCAGACTATAATTTTTTCTTTGAAATCATTTTTCATTTCTTCTTCTCATTTGACAAAGAATTAAAGTCATTTTCAATATAGGAAAATAAATTTTTAAATTTTTAGTCGCATTTTTCAAAAGTAATGTAAATAGTGTTGTCACGTTTCTATGATTTCAAGAAAAAGAAAATGAATTAATAAATTAAGGTCACACTACACAAATTATAGAAAATATTTTTGTGAAAATATCATTTTATAGGAATATTTTATTCAGTTAAGCGTACCTTTTACGTTCAAAATGTTAGTATGAAGATTTTGCAAAGTTTCAAAAACTTAAAAACACAATGATTTAGAAATAATAAATGGTTGGAAACAATAAATGATCATTTGTCACCCTTGTTTTTTTAATTTTCTCACATGCCGGAACGTTCGCTCAATCATACTGCGTCTTTTGATATTTGAATAATTGCATGTCAAATACAATTCAATATTAGCCTCTTGATAGAGAAAATTCATGATATCTACTATTTAAAAGCTTAGTTAAATTAATCCTTCTAATTATGCATTGATGAAAAGAGCTTCTCCCCTTGCTTATCATGCAATACGATCTAAACTGTTCTTGAAGATTGCACGGAATAACAGCTGAATTTGGAAACAAGTAAAATATGTGATATCACGTGAGTTCAGTTTAATTATTACTTCCGCTAAAAGAGCATAAGGATTTTGATTTTTTGCATTTTATTAAAATTAATAATCAAAGATATTTCATCGTTTTAGATTTCCATACATGTCGGACGTCTTAATGAAAAAGAATTCAAACTGCAAACTTTAAAGCTGTCATGTTTAACGGAGCTTACAAAAATATTTAACATACTGCAAAAGAGTAGATCATAGAGTTTTTTAGGGAAAGAGACAAGTGAAACAAAATATTTCAAAGGTCATATAAGGACAGCCGGGAAAGGTCACATGTGAAAATGTCACTAATTGGTAAATAGAAAAGGGTGTCACTTATATATGTCTTCCGATCAGTGGCGGAAAATGTGAACGGTGAGAAAAGAAATATCATCGGTGGAACTTTTTCGAAGAAGATGACATGGAATTTAACAATAATGGGCTACTGAACTTGGCTGAATGGATAAAATGAATAGAACGATTAAGAATTCCATCTCGCTTCCATATATCTTCAAATAACAGTACATTATTTCAGTGCAGAATTTTCTTTTGGAAAACTTTATAACCAATGATGCTAATTAGTATTCGTTATCTAAAATCACAAATATCACTTTCATCTCTAATTTTTAGTGTGTTGAAACTAATTCGATTACTAATTTTCAAAATTTTCCCGGAGTTTTTGGTAATGACATTCATATTCGCTAATTCAAATCACAAAAGAATCTGATTACTGATTTTTTAAATACTTTTCAGAGTTAGAATTCAATATCATTTCTTCATCGTCTACTCATTTTGGGAAAGCAGTGATAATAGCGAATTGCAAATTAAGAAAATAAACAATCATAAGCAGTAGCGCTCATAATGATAATTTTTACATTAATCAGTTTCATAGCTAATTTTACAAGTAACTTCTTTTCCTGGTGAAGTTTTCACTTTCATTAAGAAAATTTGAAAAAAAAATTGAAAAATAAAAATAGTAAGAAATTAAAAAGACTATCCAAGCAACGCATTTGTATCAATCGGATGCTCACAAAACGGTATCAAAGTAATTATTTATCGGAAGAACATTAGCATATCGTTACCCTGCCACTTGTTTTAACATTTTTTGTAGTAGTAGTAGTAGTAAAACTGAATAAAATGGCTTACCAGTTTCATATGATCGGCCGACTACGATCAAACCAAAGTATGATAAAATAATCAGGCAGAGTGATAGTGATTTTCGATTCAAATACATTATCAGCTATTCGCTATTTCTGCGAAAAAGAGAAAGAAAAAATTGAAATTAATATTGATGATAGCAAGTTAAAAGTGACGTATCAGATTAGATCAGTCAATCTGGAGGAAATAATTGACTTTTATAACTCAGATTAGATCACTTTTAACTTGCTTAAAAGTGATCTAATCTGAGTTATAAAATTTTTTATTAGACCGTAATAAACGAATTGCGAATAATATATATATTTTGGAAATATTTTGCACTTTCCAATTAACATTCTTCATTTCCTTTTTAAATACCAGGTCACAGGTCTTTAAAATCAGGAGATTGGGTCAATTATTTTCTCCAGATTAAGTGATAAATGTTTAAATGATTGATATACATGAATAAACAATTGAATGAATGAGTAAAAAAGACGATAAACAAAAGAAGTACGATCCTTATCGTTTGAGAGATTATCTATTAGCTTATTTTTTGGTTTACGGAAATCGATAAACGGTATGGTTGTACCGGAAAAGGTGGAGTTAACCGGAGAGGTGTGACATATCTGAGAAGCAGGAGAGGAAAGGAGAGGGCGGGGGAGTTGGGAGAAGATTCTACCAACGAGAAATTATCGAAAGTAGTACCGAATGAATATATCGGTAGGTTGGTGCAGATGGGTGGAGTTCTTCTAATAAAATAGTTAAAATTTCTAATTTTACTAACACTTTACATTCATTTCAATAACTCATTCATTCCTCCACTTCTATTTATCTTTTTATTTCCGTTACATTGTACTCTAATTTCATTTGCCAGGTTTCTGTCTAGACCATAACCATACCTTAGAGGTTATCCAATGAGATATATTTGCCATTGTACTACATGCTACATCTCACTTGTGCTAAAATGCATCAGGCTCTTATCCAGCTTTCAGCTCTTCCCATGCTTTTTAAGTATTCCTTCCGTGCAATAATAGTTTTGATAATAAAATGACGGGAATATTGTGGAAATTCTAGTTATCTCTTGTCATGTTCTTATGACTAAAACTATCCTTTAACTAATTATATCACATTATCATAGATATTTTGAAGTTGATAGCAAATAGCGCATATATAACTTTATTTCAAAATTGTTTGCATTCTTTAAATCCAATTCAAAAAGAAGTTTTATTTTATTTTTCTCTTACATTCTTTTTATTATTATTAAAAGTATACTTCTGATGCTTGTTACATTTATTACTGATGCTCAAATGAATCCATAATTTATACTAATGAAATTACGATCATTCTAATGGTTTTTAACTTACATCATCTTCACGTCACTTTTAACTTGCTATCATCAATATTAATTTCAGCGCATCAATTTTTTCTTTCTCTTTGTCGCAGAAATAGCGAATAGCTGATAATGTATTTGAATCGAAAATCACTATCACTCTGCCTGATTATTTTATCATACTTTGGTTTGATCGTAGTCGGCCGATCATATGAAACTGGTAAGTCATTTTATTCAGTTTTATTTTTTTCTACTATAATACACTAATAATCACTCAGTAAATTCGACTTAGGTAAAGTAGAAACGTACTCAAATCATTTTGGATTGAATTGATTAGAGTATAATAATGTATAATAATGATTTGTTCATAATCGCAAAATTTGATTATTTCATTAATATCAAGAAAAATTGAACACAACGCAAATTATCACACACTGATTGACTGTTTTAATGAAACAATGATTTTAGTTTGTAATATAAAAACCTTCAAATTAATACTGATCTCATCTGAGTTACAAAATTTTTTATTAGACCGCAATAAACGAATCGCGAATAATTTGAATCTGCATCGAAAAATTACCAGTTCATAATTGAATTAAATTAAAAATAAATAAATTTCCACTATTCTCCCAATTTTAACCAAATTAAACAGATCAAATAATTGAAATTTTCTTTTTATTCCATCCTATTGAAATTAAATTTATTTCAAACCATAATTACAGGAAAGCTTTTATTTTTATTACTATGAAAGGGAAAAATTTTCATTGTTCAATATTTTCTGTGCGTTGAATAAAATTCTGTTTGCATATTTAAATCATGACCCTTTCGAAAGCTATATTTATTTCATTTCAAATTACAATTTCGTAAAAATTCTTTTTATACATTGCGATTTTGAATAAAACTTCTTTTTTTTTAATACGTTTTGTGAAAAAAAATTTTCGTTCTAAATTAGAATAGGATTTTATGAAGAAAAGAACCTAACGGTAGTTTCTAATAATAATAATAAATCTTTTACGTGAATTACATTAAAATTTATTTAGGCGGATTAATGCGAGATGATTACGAATACGCTTTGGAAGGTATCGCAGTTGATTATGTTACTAATCGGCCAAGAAGTGAAAGCATTTCTCGAATACATAAGAATAGACATTCACAAAATGCCAACAGTAATCCATATCCCTTCGCTTCATCGTTATCATCATTGTCATCACCACCGTCATCATCAAAGGACAGTATTGTTTATCATCACAAATCGTCAATGCATGGGTAGTTGGTGAAATTAATTTTCCAGTCAAAATTATTTTATTAAATTGTACAAAAAAATGAAATTTGAAATATATACGTTATAAACATCTCCGATCATTCAATTTGTAATTAAACAAATAAAGGTAATTGATGCAAATTATAGGATCAGGAAATAAAAGAAAAAAATGATTCAAATCATGCAATAAAAATTGATTCCGAATTTTTTTCTCTCCATTTATCTCATTTCAATTTATTTACCAGATTTTTAAATTTCATAAAAAATTCTCGGAACAACAAAATTTTATTATAATTTGCGAAAAACTAGAAATATCCTTAAATAGTTTCAAAGTCAAAATATAAGCAGAAATGCAGAACTTCAAGAGAACGGAAAAAGGTCATCCACGTCATTTTAATTTAATATATTTTAATTTAATAAATTCAAAGAAAATATTGTATGTAGACTCCATCGCTAAATGAATATTTAAAATAATTTATGTACCATTTTACTGCTAATTACATTAATTATACAACATGCTTCTTTTTTTCTATAAAAGCATATCTTAATTAATTCAATTTAACAGAACTTTTATTTCT